AGTTGATTGAAGAATAGTCAATGCTTGCTTAACTTTATAGTGACATAACTTCAAATGTTTTCCATCAAATTCAAAATTAATATGATCTATAATATCAAAATCACGTTCTTCTGTCCAAGATCTACGAATTCGAAAACAGATTTGATTTGGTATTTTAAAAAGTGTTAGAACTTCATCATTATGAATAATATAATCAACAGCTTGCATAAATAATCGGTACAATTCATTTGATGTACTACTAACATTTCCAAAAAAATCTTCATCTGCTTTATAATAACAAACATCTTTGTTATTAGATTGCATAAGAAATTTTTCTTTTTGACTATCAACATTGATCGGCGAATAATCATCATTAAAATTCTTATTAAAAATAAAACAACGTTTTAATTCACCAATCGGCTTTGCTTTTTGATATTTTTGAAGAATTAAACTGATATTTGATTCATCTAATGGTTTTAATTGATGATCATTTTCAATTTCTATCCATCCATAAACATTAAAATAATCTTCAATATAATAAAGACCATTATGATTGATCATTGGAATTTGACGAGCATAATTACTTGTCCAATAATGAAATCGATAATTTTCTTCGGTTACACGAATAAAATTTTCTTCAACTTCACATATAACAGCAATATGTCCATATGGTATTCCTTCATTACGAGGATATATAAGAAAACTATCACATTTAGGTTTATGTGGTGATCCATTTGAATAAGTTTTTAAAAGAAATTTTTCACCATCAATAACACGCTCTACATAGGTCAATTGTTGCCAAATATCAGCAGCAGATCCGACATTTCGAAAGATACAACTTTTACGTAATAATAACCATCGACGAGCAAATTCAACACACTGCCATTTAACACCAGTATATATTCCATGAACATAAAATCCTTCAAATGAAATAAAATCATCATATTCATTAGAATAAGCTGGTACATTGGTCGAAGCTATTCCTTGAATTGTATTAAATGGTACCATTTCTTGTTTTATATCTGTCATCATTGACACTACATTATAAAGAAACTTGGCAAAATCTATGTTGAAAAAATCATATGAAATTCATAGAAAGAAACAAATAATAAATTTCCCAGAATGAAAAGCCATGGTCTTGTTTTATGGGCTAAATTTTTACTAGTATTGACGTAGAAAATTGAGCATTTTCGAAGAACATTGAATTTTTAAAAAAGATTTTGAAATACACTTGATCTTCTATTCTGCAAGAGTATGGCTTAGAAATATCTGAGAAACGAATTATTCAAAAAAAAAAAGAAAATTATCTTTTCATAACTTTTAATTAAAAGGTTTTTTCAGGAAACTAACGGTGACTCTCAAAACCCTGCAAACTGAGCATATTTTTATATAAATATGCTAATTAAATTTCCAATTTTACAAAACTGAATCAACGAAGGAGAGATTACTACAAAGTAAAATGACTTCACTGGAATTCGATGGATCATTTATCACTGTTGAAATGCTTATAGTATTGAGACATGATGAAATTTGGTTCCTTTATATTTGTACTTCTTGACTTTTCGTGAATATTTCAAAGATTTTGAAACATGCTATTTTTAATGAGAAATTTAAACAAAATTTTCTTTTTTTGTTTTTTAAATATGAATTTTGCTATCTTTTAGAGCAACACAAAATAACTACTCTATAACATACAAAAATTACGGTGCATATGATTATACAGTACACTTTCATACTTATTTTTATGTATTGGTATCGGTGTTTTCTAATGCTGTAAGTGATAGAATATTATATTGACTCAATCAATGTGAGCAATCATAAATTTTAATAATGATCTATTTGATAAATAGAACTAATATAAAATATTTTGTAAATATTTTGCATTTTTTTCCTCGTGTTTATCAAAACCTGTCAAATTATATGTATCATGACAGTAAACATTACTTACTAACGTTGATAGATAATTGCAAGTCACATAAATGAAAAATGAGCATGTATAGGTAACTACCGTTATATAGTGTCATAATAAATATGCGCAAATAACACATGGATATATACACATGTGAAAACATACACAGTAGCTACCAAAACTATTGAATCACTAGATCATGGGTTTTTTCATTTTGCATATTTCGAAAGCTAGAAGAGGTTGATATACTCTTGTCTTCTTCATATCATAATCAATAGTCTCCAGTAGAAATGCAGAAAATTTCAAATCAATTCTTTGATTACATGAAATTACATGGATAATACAATTTCAACACACTTCCTAACTCATACACAAGAGCATGTTTCAAGCATAACAATTTTGTACAGAAAAATATTTTTTACACTCCCATCAATAGACAAAAACTAACATACAAAAAACTCTATCGAGAATTTTTATATGATTGATATATACATAGAGATCAATCAATACGATTTTTCCACATCAAATACTTAT